GATAACATAATGTAAAACGAAAGATCTTGCCGGAAACATGACGTTGACGTTTAGTGAAAATATTGTTTTTGACACTTTTTTATGATAAAATCGTATATCGTGTGTATGTGTTTTTTCTTTAAACCTGAAATTGGCCGATTGCGAGACAAATTTGGCGATTTTTTTTATCAATTTGTTTTACGGCTCTGGATACAAGCCCAGTTTAGCCCAACTTAAAGTTTTACAATATAAATTACAAAAATTAAAGTCAATATCCAATGTTAAATAATAATAAATGTCAAATGTTGTTTCCCTGTTCTGAACAACTTAAAAAAAACTATTAAGTTTTCTTTTTAAGTTGTTCAGTACAATCACAATTTCTTCAAATTTTATTATTTACATTTTTTAAAGAATGTTGTGGTGTGGCACTATCCGAAATTAAATTATTTACCCATTTTTGTAGGTTATACAGAAATAATGTGTGGGTGTTTATTTAAAAAGCATTAACACAAAATTAATAAAGTATAGGTATTAATAAATATATGGTTGTTGTATCAAAATAGAATTTTCTTATTTTTCACTAAAATAAAAACTAACTGTCTTTTTTATAAAATAAATGACCTTTTCATTATGCCATATATTATGGAACTATTTCAATTATTTAGCTGATTGTAAGAAACAAAATGTTGGTTTGTAGATTAATACTGTAAAATTATTATTTGTACGGAAACGATAAAAATATATTTTTGTGCTGCGACAAAAACTAATATTATAAATGTGAAAGTAACTCTGTCTGTCTGTCTCGCTTTCACGCCAAAACTACTAAACCGATTTGAATGAAATTTGGTATACAGATAGTCTAGACCCTGAGAACGGACATAGGCTACTTTTTAATGCGAAAAAAGGGTTGTAAGGGGTTAAAAGGGGGATGAAAGATTGTATGGAAGAATCGTCATTTTTGAAGCTAGAAGCTTGAAACTTATTTTTGAGACTGTTGATTAAATATAAATAAAAATGACATTCAATGTTTGTAAAAAATTACTCTTAAGGGGGTAAAATAAAATAGGGGATGCAAGTTTTTATGTAAATTCGTCATTTTTGAAGCTAGAAGCTTAAACTTATTGTTGAGACTGTTGATTAAATATAAATACATATGACATTCATTGTTTGTAAAAAAATTACCCTTAAGGGGGTAAAATAAAATAGGGGATGCAAGTTTTTATGTAAACACGTCATTTTTGAAGCTAGAAGCTTGAATCTTATTGTTGAGACTGTTGATTAAATATAAATACATTGACATTCATTGTTTGTAAAAAAAATACCCTTAAGGGGGTAAAATAAAATAGGGGATGCAAGTTTTTATGTAAAATCGTCATTTTAGAAGCTAGAAGCTTGAAACTTATTTTTGAGGCTGTTGATTAAATATAAATACATATGACATTCATTGTTTGTAAAAAAATTACCCTCAAAGGGGTAAAATAAAATAGGGGATGCAAGTTTTTATGTAAACACGTCATTTTTGAAGCTAGAAACTTGAATCTTATTGTTGAGACTGTTGATTAAATATAAATACTTATGACATTCATTGTTTGTAAAAACAAATACCCTTAAGGGGGTAAAATAAAATAGGAGATGCAAGTTTTTATGTAAAATCGTCATTTTTGAAGCTAGAAGCTTGAAACTTATTTTTGAGGCTGTTGATTAAATATAAATAAATATGACATTCATTGTTTGTAAAAAAATTACCCTTAAGGTGGTAAAATAAAGTAGGGGATGATAGTTATTATGTAAATTCGTAATTTTTGAAACTAGAACGATGAAACTATTTTCATTGGTTCTTTTGGGGTAGATTTTTAAAAACCCCACTAATGTTATAACTGTGAAAGTAACTCTGTTTGTCTTTCTGTCAGTCTTACGCTCCAAAACAAAATAAAAATTTAAATGAAATTTTGTACACAGTTAGTTTACACCCGGACAAAGAATATAGGGTACTTTTGAATGTGAAAAAAGGATTGTAAGGGGGTTGCAATGGTAGGCTGTATGGAAGAATCGTCATTTTTTAAAACTAGAAGTTTGAGACTCATTTTTAGGCTGTTGTTTAAATATCAATAAATATGATATTCAATTATGATGAATAAATATGATATTCTCTTAGGGGGAGGGGGGGTAGTAAAATAAAATAGAGAATGAAAGTTATTGTGGAAATTTGCTGTTTGTGTGGTTGTGGAAGCTAGAACGATTAAACTTTTTTCTTTGTCTTTTTAGGGTTAGTTTATTAAATACCTTACTGATATTATAAATGTGAAAGTAACTTTATCTGTTTGTCTCGCTTACACGCCAAAAATACTGAACCGATTTAAATTGAAATTTGAAACAGACATAGATAGACTAGATCCTGAGAAAGGACATAGGTTACTTTTTAATGTGAAAAAGGGTTGCAAGAGGATTAAAAGGGTAGATCCAAGGTTATATAGATGTATCGTCATATTTAAAGCTAGAAGTTTGAAATTTATTTTTTAGCCTATTGATTAAATATTTATTTTTACTTTTTATCATTTTTGAAGCTAAAACGATGAAACTTATTTATTTGACTTATATTGTGTTAATTGAGTTAAATATTTTTTCATTATTTACGCGGACGAAGTCGCGGGTACAGCTAGTGTATAATAATAAAAATAATCTCAGAACAATTCACACAGCGCCATCTAGACCCAAGTTAAGCTAGCTAAAGCTTGTGTTATGGGTCCTAGATAACTGATACAAATTCATAGATATTTTTTTTCGTAAATACATACATAGAAAACACCCAGACCGATACAAACAATTATACTCATGAATACAAATGTTCCGTGCGAGGAATCGAACCCGCAACCATCGGACGTAAAGCGGTGTGCTAGACCGCATGACCACCGAGGTCGTCAAATATATATAAATGTATATAGAAACGATAAATTCATGGTGAATGATAAATTCACCATGAATTTACGGTTTCCAGGGGTACCACATGGTTAACCTGACAATGGTAAATTGCTAGCAATGGGTTATAGTAGTGATTTAACTGCTGCAACTATATTGCTGCTGCTGTTTTTAAAGTGAATTGTCCTAGTTATCCCAACTGCACATCTTGTTGTTTTTTCATTTGTTATTGGCCACTCTCTAAGTTCTCTTCTTGTAGGTTTTCACCTCTACGTGGTTTTCCCTCTGGAAAATTCACCAGGAATTTATCATGTTGGGCTTATTGACCTGACCGAGTAACTGACTGAGTAAAGTAAACTAATATCCCCATTGCTAGCAATGTTCCATGGCAGGTTGACCTCCACGTGGTTCCCCCTGAAAACCATCGTGGTAAACTTACCAAGATGCGCTTAGTGACCTAACCTTATGTTGTGTTATGTTCATCTTATCATCCTGCACTGGTGCCCCGCCTGCGTAAACCGTAGGCGCAGGCGGGTGCACCATTCCATTATCATCCATAAAAATAAAAAAAAACACTAGTCACTACAAGCAAAACCTATGTATATTTAATTCTAGTTAAACTAATGTATCAGCTGCTGAGTGTGATATAATGCAACACCTTTGCACACAGGTTGTGGTCATGTAACATATTATTAGAACGTAATAAGACGCTTCGATTATAAGTATAGTTAAGATACAGGAACATAAAACTGGATGTAATAATACGCACAGCGATCCATAATTATCGCTCACTAGTTACAAGTACGGTATTATAGATATATAAATAATCTTTATTTAAATAAACGTAATATTTAATACGTATGTATAAAAAAAAATTGAGTATTTATATCTGTTGTTTAGTACCCATAACATAACCACGGCAACGCGTGATACCCCTGGTGTTTCAGGCGTTCATTGGCTAAACTTTTACTATTAGATGGGCCGTATGCTTGATTGACACCATCGTAGTATAAAAAAAACTTTTTAGCCTGAGATATTATTATTATTTATTATATACTTTTGAATGGTCATATTTTTTTAATTCATCCACTCATTCGGAACACAATATCGCCACAAGAAGAATGAGCAAGAAATTTACGTTGCTCTTTTAAATAAATGTTGTGCATAATTACTTTTTTAGGAATTTTGTATCAATACAAACTTCTAAATAGCAAAGTTGACTTAAGTACAACTCAATCGGAACGCAGACTTATCACAAGAAGAATTAGCAAGAAACTTGGGTGTTCCTCTTTTGTATAAATGTTGTGTAGAATTATAGTTTTAGGAATTTTTAATTCACGAACTGCCAAATGGCATAATTAATTGAAGTTGGCATAAATAAATGAATAGTTACTTGAATAACAAAATAAAACAGTCAGTTATCAGAGCAGACTAGTCCGTACAAGCAGCACACGTTCACGAGTATAACGGGTGAGCAAGCACTGCACTCAACCATATACTGTGCCTGGACATTTCACGCAAAAACTACTGAACGGATTTTTATGAAACTTTAGAGTAATATAGTGTACGTCCACAGGTTATAGTGATCAACAGTGCAACCGACCGCCATAAACTGTTTTGATATTTTTATTATTTTTTAATTTACATTTTTGAATAGATCTTTTTTATATGTCATGATATTTGATATACTCTATCTCTGTCTATGTCTTTTGGATAGTTCGCAACTGTATATATTTTACTATCAAATTCTATACGTATTTTCATCATTTAGACATCCATACAGTCTACCGATCCATTACAGTGACCAAATAAAAAACAAAATATTCAATAATTTAACCAAAAAAGACAATACTGCCATACAAACTTTCATTTCCCTTTACAACCCCTTTGTCACATTAAAAAATAGTCTATGTCCTTTCTCAGCGTCTAGACTAACCGTATACCAAATTTCATTTAAATTGCTTTAGTAGATATGGCGTTAAATCGTGACAGACAGACATAACGATAAATTTTATGCGTTAAGTATGAGGCTGCTGAATTTGCCACGAAGATTATTTCTATTTCTATTACCTCGACCCTCGTCGTTATAGATATATTTTACTTACATCAGGCAAGGTGGCCACCAGCGCCACATGACTGTACTCATCGCCGGCCGCTTGTGTGGGGCTCTGCCACCAGGTGGCAGGGTTACCGTCGATGGCGTGCGACGGTGGTCGTCGCCGTGATGGAGATCCGTCGAGACCTTCGCACACATCGCAAACCACGCCACGCCTGCACAAGAACAAGTCATATCAAATCAAAATATCGTTATTGATGTAAGTCTATCACAGACAGTGTCGCAAACTATGCCACGCCTGCATAAGAACAATTAAGATTAAATGAAATCAAAATATCGTTATTGATGTAAGTCTATCACAGACAGTGTCGCAAACCACGCTACGCCTGCACAAGAACAAGTCATATCAAATCAAAATATATTTATTGATGTAAGTCTATCACAGACAGTGTCGCAAACCACGCTACGCCTGCACAAGAACAATTCGTATCAAATCAAGTCAAAATATCTTTATTCATGTAATCACAGACACTTATGGTAATTGAAATCTGCCGTCAGCATAGAATGTGGTTAGAGCCGGGAAGATCTGGCAAAAAACTCCGCCCTCACTGTTTTCACATGAGATTTTATACAAATTGTCTTCAATCATGTTTTCTATTACAGACTCTTATGATATAATCTAACGTCGGTTCGGCTTTCTAATTAAGACTGACAAGAAACTCAGCTCTTATTCTTTTCAAATGAGCTCGTACAGAAACACTGATTCATTTTCAAATTCAATTATGGAGAATATCATGACCACCAACGTATGCTATTGCATTTTTGGCAAAAGCAAATAGTCTAATCAATGTTGCAACCCTAACAGACCAGCTGACTCCAGAAGCAGCACCCATTTATGAGATGACGGAGGGGCTAGCCTTCATTCATTGCACTCATATTAGAGGAAGCATATTGACCCGGCCCAACACGCCGTTATCATCTAACGATGAATACAATTTCAAAGAAACAAACAGATAGAAAAGAAAAGAAAGTTTTGAAAGGGTTTAGATTGTCGCTTTAATATTAACTTAGATTATAATGTTTACGTACTTGCCAGGGGTATCTCTGCAATACTCCTCACTGCCAGCATCTCCACATGTTGCGTTAGCTGTGATTACAGAGTAAGGAGCCACGTCGAGCGGAGCAGGTAACAAACCGCTGCTCGTGTCTCCGTTCACCACAACCTCACCCTCGTTGGTGCTCGCCAGCCGATCCAAGAGTGCTCTACCTGTAATAAATATATTTAATTGACTTTTGATCCAAGGACTTTTTTTAAACTATTCTAATGTAGCCCCAGCTGGCCTTTAGCTTCATCGGACGATAGTGTGCGAGTATTAATGATGCTGCAAACCCGCGGAATGACTTATGGAGCTACTGAAGGCCAACTCCTGCCTAACGTAACTATGACGCAAGCAGAGAAGTTGTTAGTCAAGTAGTAGAAGTTAAAAAGTTAAAGTATACAAGTTTAGATCCAATCAACGTGCATCGAGACGTCACTGCCATCGTATCTAATTACGTTTCAATTGCCACAGAACAGTTGTCTGTCCGGTTGAAACATCTCAGTCTCCAGCGGTAAACCGACTAATTTATGTCGTTGTCGACTCAACACGTCATGTTCACAGGGTGTCATCTACGTAAATTATTGCCATTGGCACAGATATTTACCGCGCGCCATCTGGCTACGCTTTTTGACGTCGCTTTATTTGTGAGCTTTATAGCGCTGATTTAGAATTAGTCACACGACTTATGTAATGGTATATGTAAGGAAATATGCCCCTCCGATCGATCCCCCGTTCAATTCAAACTAATCGAAATTACGATAGCCTGAGCCGAGCTTTGAACCCGTAGCGGTGTAGACTAAAATCGTATCCGTCTGGCGGGAGTTGGCCTTCAATCGCTCCATAAGTACTTCCGTGGAGTGCCCGAAATATGGCAACATATACATATGGTAAACCTAGACCTGTGCACAACAAAAATCTGCAAATTTTGCCAAGCCGTAGAACATTCTGGGTGGTTGTAGCCACCATACATAATGTAGGTAGTTTCAGTGACTTTAAAAACTAAACGCATTACGCGACACTGCTTGCGTGAATCAAAGTAAACAGCAATCTATTTGTAAATCTATTATAGGATATGATCTATCTGTGTACTAAGTTTCAATAAATTCCGTAGAGCAGTTTTTTAGCAAGTAGTACATACAACTACATTTTTACTTGCTTTTTTTCCTTTTGTGATCGTCATATCTGACATATAGTGTGTATATCTATTTCCACCATTCCACAATTCCTTTCAATCACTCAAAGGTTGACTGGAAGAAATGCCTGACTTGGGATAAGTCCGCCATTGCACAACTTATTTCTTAAAATCGTTGTATCCTTAGTTAGTTTAAATGTATTTACTGTACAATAAAGTGTTACAAACATTATGCAATCACTTTCCACTAATGGTTTTTCCGAAGCAATACGATATTGAAATCTTCAAGGAAACAGCATATTCCTTCTTAAAAAGCCGACAACGTACTTGCAATTTTCCGTCGCTGAAGATTCAGTCGGCAGATTTGTACATGATTTGAAAGATGTTATCACTAATACCGCACATGATCCTTGTTGCTTTTAATTATGCATTTGATCTCGGCCGCATTTAAGAACAGCTTGCTTTTAAAATGTATGCCTCGATGATCCTTTCTTATTTATTGTTGACTAGCTTTTGTCCGCGGCTTCGCTCGCGTTTATTTATCCCACTTAGGGGACAAATTTATCAAAATCCTTTCTTAGGGAATGCCTACGTTATAGTAGCTTTATGCATGCAAAGTCTCAGCCGGATCGGTTTAAAATTGACAAAGTTTCATACAAACTTTCATCCCCTATTTTATCCTCTTGGGGGTAGAATTAATCAAAATCCTTTCTTAGCGAATGCCTACGTCATAACATCTACCTGCATGTCAAATTTCAGCCCGATCCGTCCAGTGGTTTGGGCTGTGCGTTGATAGATCACTATGTCAGTCGCCTTTGAGATAACTCAAAGGCGACTGACGTTATCTAAATATATATATATAATATATATTTAGATTGTTTATTATCCTCACTGTTGCTTCTCAATATATTTATGAAAATATCATGTATGCCAGGAAGAATACAGACAGTTTCAAAAGAGTTAGTGATTGCACTAATAAAAGCTTACGTAACAATAACAAACTGATTTTACCTAAATGTCGTTTGGCTAAAGTTAGTAATTCGTTTTATGGCAATTGCGTAAGGTTTTACAATAAAATACCAGAGTCTGTTATAAATCTGCCAGAAAAAAGATTTAAATGTCAAATAAAACACTTCCTTTGCAAAAAAGCTTACTATAAAATTGAAGAATTCGTTAACGATAATAATGTTTTTGTAGAAAAATTTTTAAATACATAGCACTGACAATATTATCTGATTACACTAATAATGAGTGCGTAGCGATTTCTATGTTGATTGTCGCATGCCTCTTACTTGTTACACTGTAATTATTTATATAAAAAAAAACATCTATTAAAAAGAGCAACACACAAGTTTCTTGCTCATTCTTCTTGTGATGAATCTGCATTCCGAATGAGTGGTAGAATCAAAATATGACTATTCAAAAGTGCTTGTAATGAGTTTATTTGAATAAAGATTATTTCTATTTCTATTTCTATTAAGATAACGTTTGTAACTAACCCGACTTCTCTTGTATGAACAACTACGATATCATTATTACACAAATATTATTATACAAATACGATATATTATTTGTAATTTAAATAATACTTATTTTGTGTATATGTTTGGTAGAGAAGCAATAAAAATTACATTTTTTTCCTGCTTCCGAGTAATTAATTATTATGTTTTTTTTTTAATATAAAATAAATAATAAATATTAATATTATTCAATAATTAAGGGTATATATAACTTTTTTAAATAATTAATTTATATATAAACTTTCCTGTCGGAAGTATTTCATGATTTTAAGGATTATTTTTTAATTATTATATTTACAGACTTAATCTTAACTGCTTAGATTTCTTTTATTCTCAGGAATAGTACAAAATAGATCAGTGTGCTCTAAGGGGGAGAAAGAGAATTGTTATTAATGGGTCAAACATTGCTAGCAATGCAATCAATTAAACTCCACGTGGTACTCCCTGAAAATCGTCGTACTTAATTCCTGGCAAATTATTTCAAATTCAAAATATCTTTATTCATGTAGGTCTATTACAGACTGTTATGATATGTTAAATCTACCGTCAGTTCGGAATGATTTCGAAATGAGAATAACTGACAAGAAAATCAGCTCGTATTCTCTTCAAATAAATGTTGTTCATGTTTACAATAATATACATTCATTTTTAAATTTAAATTTGGGAGAATAGATTGACCACCGCCATATGCTGTTGAAAGCGTTACGATCTTCTACATTGTTGATCAAATTCCGATTGTTATTGGATCTACACCTATATTACGGCACGGTTTCGCCTCTAGACGAGGTATCAGGCAATTAATAGAGTTTGGATATAGTTTAGAAGTTCGGTGACAAGCCTACGACTCGTCCTTGTGTTTATACATCGACTATGGTGTTTAATTCCCCTAGCGTTAGCATGTGTGAGTTTAATTCCATTAGGCAGCGGAATTAAACAAGATAATATAAATAACAAAATAAATAAAGTAATGAAATAGACTGTATGTCTCACACATGCTAATGGCAGCGGAATTAAACAAGATAATATAAATAACAAAATAAATAAAGTAATGAAATAGACTGTATGTCTCACATATGCTAATGGCAGTGGAATTAAATAAGATAATATAAATAACAAAATAAACAAAGTAATGAAATAGACTTCCGTAAAATAACACCTAATTTGCCAAATATATCCTGCGATGAGTCAATTGATCCGAGTTCTAGAGGATGATAGAATGAAGATGACGTCATTCTTTATTCCTCCACTGGTGTCCCAGGAACGTGTACCGGTAGCAAAAGAATGTCTACCATTCCAGATTCATCCATTAAAAAACGGAATTCCAGTGCATCGCACCAATTACTGCGGCCGGCCGCTGACATTCGTCGCTGCACTGGCGTTCCGAAACTTCATTAATTGAATAAACAATTATTGATGCTATGAATTTTAATTATTTAATATAATTAGGTATGTTTTCACATAATTACATATTTAATTAGTAAGACATAATTATGAGTAAGTAATCTAATATACAAAGTTCTCGTGTCACTGTGTTGGTTGCTATACTTCTCCGAAACAGTTTAATAGATTTTGATGAAATTTTATATGTATACTCGGTAGGTCTGAGAATAGGTTGTTATCTATTTTTTATACCCCTAAGTGATAAGGGTGGCCCAACCCCAAATATATATTTTGCATTAATTATTTATTTTTATTTTATTATGATATGGCAAATTATATTACCCTTCATTTTAACGATTCTGCCACCAACCCCAATTTTTTAATAGCGATATTAATTTATATGGTTAACCAACATTTGCCGGATCAGTTAGTAATTCATTCATTTCATTCATCGCAGCCCGGAAGACGTCTACTGCTGGACATAGGCCACCCCCAAAGATCTCCACGACGATCGGTCCTGCGCTGCTCGCATCCAATGCCTTCCAGCGATCTTGACCAGGTCATCGGTTCACCTTGCTGGAGGCCTTCCCACGCTGCGTCTTCCGGTCCGTGGTCGCCACTCGAGGACTTTATTGCCCCAACGTCCATCTGTCCTACGAGCTATGTGCCCTGCCCATTGCCACTTCACTATCGTAATTCTTCGGGCTATGTCCGTCACTCTAATTCTTTCAGTTAGTAATATAATTTTTTTTTGTTTACACAAATTTATTTTTTATATTACTGTCAATCTTTACACATTCAAGACAAAGCTTAAAATGTTGTTGAAAGGTTGTTTTTACCCTTTGGACCAATATAAAATCACTGTTTATTTTTACAGTTTACGATTCCTCGCACGGTGCAAACTATTGTATTCATGAGTATGATTGTTTGTATCAGTCTGAATGTTTTCTCTATGCATTTTGAAAAAAAAAGTATTTATATCAGTTATCTAGTACCCATAACACAAGCTCTGCTTACCGTGGGACTACATGGCACTGTGTTAATTATCCAGGATTATTTATTTATTTAATTTTTATTATTAAAACTTATTTTCAATATGAAGTATATTTGTAAAATTGTGTTAAAAACCATGAAA